TAAAACAATATAATATAATATAATAATAAATATAATATAATATAATATTATATAATGCTGATCAGTATCCATCCTTACATTAAGGCCTAACAAAGAAATCTGGCTAGAGTAAAAAAAACAAAAAAAAAAGTATGCCTGGCAGGGCTGAGTTTGGGGAGTGTGTCTCTGCTGGTTTGAAGGAGCAGTAGTGTTGAAAATGCTTTGGGATTGTTCCATTGGCTGAAAAGGACAGGAAATGTTCCATTGGCTGAATTGCAATGGGGCTGTTCGTTCCATTGGCTGGAAACGCGAGTGCTGCGTTCACTGGCCGGGGGGACGTGTTGGTGCCAGCTGCAGACGTCCCGACTGAGCACGCACTGTATAATTTTGCTTGGGCTGCCCTTGCGGTCTCTACAGTGACTCTGAATGTCACTGAACTCTGGCCCCCCTGACACGGGACCAGGGCCCGGGGCCAACACCATAAAACAAATCAGAAAACTAATCCACAGGGGTCAAAAGGATGAAGACAGATTGAGAAGAAAAGGCAGAAGGACAAGAAGTAAAGGGAACAGAAGTTGTGAGATGTAAGTGAAGGAATAACAGACACATGTGAGAGGTGTGTGACTCTGCTGAGCACCGGTGAACAGCTGTAGATGACAGACGTGCTGATTTCACAGGTGAATGTGGAGCTTAGGGAGAAAAGCTCTCACTCACAGAATGTGTGTCAAAAACAAGCCTATAAAAAAATGTTGTTTAATAATGATTTGCAAGCTACAGAACTGTGCTGGACATTTTCTTTTGTTTTCCATTATATTTTTAAAATGTACTTTTAAAATAATAATAAAAAATATATATATACACATTTAAACATTTTCCATTACATTTTTTACATTTATTTTAATATATTTAATTGAAATCATTTTATTATTACAGCATTTTTAAATTAATTGTACTTTACTGTATATTATAATTATTCATATACTTTTTTGAACATTAATATTTTTCCTATACATTTATTTATGCGATTATATATATATATTTTTATTTAATAATTATAACTATTATACATATTTTATTTAATATTTAACATTTACATTTTATTTAAAAACATATTTAAACATTTATTTTTCTAGACTATTATATATTTAATCTAATAATGTATGTTTACTTTTAATATTATTTCTATAAACATTATATTTTGTTTTTAGTTCATCGATACTTATCTTAAATATACATTTGTAAATAATTTTTTACTTTTTAAATGTATTTTTATTTTTATGCATTTATGAATTAAAATTTACATTATACAGTGCTAGTGTAGAGAATGGCAAGGAAATAAAAGAAAAGGGGGAATGGGATCAGATCATATTGCGAGTCAGGCTTGAACTTGCATCGCCCACATGAGCACCTCAACACCATGGATCTACATGCAAACTGCTTAACCCACGACTTCAAATTCCCATTCTTTTATGACCCATGTGGCCGTAAAAAGTGTTTGCATGAAAGCATCATCCTGCATATTGGCCTACATATAAATCTGAACCTTATCAGATTGGATCTGCAATTCTACATGTGCCAAAATGTTTTTTAATGTGTCTGTACAGTATATCTGAGTTACAGTACGTTTAAGCTACATACTTATAAATCTAAAATAGCTCTATGCCAATGTACAAGTACCACTAAACGTACAGGTGTGTGTGTTGTTGTCCTGCAGTGTAATTATGATAATACTCGCTCTCTCAGGAGAGTGGATGTTCTAATCAATAGCAGTTTCATGAGGAATTCAATTACCGGCACCACTTAACTACTGATATTTCAGCGCTTTTGTCCGCTTGCACAATAACTCATTTCTAACACGTCTCCCACATTTGGCAGCACAAAACAATCAATTGTATAATTTCATTAGCAGAGGACGAGGGCGAGCAGGGCCGTGTGCTGGGAGTATAGAATATCCACCGACCGCCGCTGCTTGACAATGCTGAGTCGTCTGAGGGCAGAGAGAGCAAGCCTAAACAAAAGCCACGAAAAATACCCAGACACACACACACTGAAAGGTATTTTTTTCTTGGACTGCTCTGATTGGTGGATCTTAGATGGCCTTTTGCGAGTCAAATCTCTGCATGCTATGTACTGTATGTGGTAATATCTCATATACTGTATTGATCTCAGCATCTAGGAGCTGACACGCACAGGTCTGTACTCGCTCACTGCCACTAGGTGCTGCAAGAGACCAACTTAACACCAAAACCAAGCAGAATGAATCAGTATGAATTGGCCTATGCCTCTGAACAAAGCTTACATTAGAATATCTAATGTTTAAACATACATACTCATTATGGAACTGACAGAATATGATTATGAATAAGCAGCATGCGCATATGTGACCCTGGACCCTCAAAACCAGTCATAAAGGTAATTTTTTTTTAAATTGAGATTTATACATCATCCGAAAGCTGAATAAATAAGCTTTCCATTGATGTAAGGTTCTATTATAGGATAGGACAAAATTTGAAAATTTTAAATCTGGAATCTGAGATTTAAAGGCGATCTGAAAATCGCCTTTGAAGTTGTCCAAATGAAGTGCTTAGCAATGCATATTACTAATCAAAAAAGTTTTGATATATTTACGGTAGGAAATTTACTAAATATCTTCATGCAACATGATCTTTACTTAATATCCTAATGATTTTTGGCATAAAATAAAAATTTATCATTTTGACCCATACAATGTTTTTTTTTTGGCTATTACTAAAAATATACCCCAGTGACTTAAGACTGGTTTTGTGCGCCAGGGTCACATATAATAATAATGAGTTTTGAAAGAAGCTTTATCAGAAATCTACTGAAATGTGAGTTATATTTTGAGTGAACAACTACTGTTGGCCTGAACTGAGTATCATTGATTCAGCATGTTGAAGAACAAAATCAGGATCTTATACCCAAACAGGATGCTCTTTATGTGTCTATATAAAGGAGCTGATTGTGGAAAAGTTGGAAGAAGAGAGTACGTAGAGAAACATGCACACACACTCATATGTACCTGAAGTCTTTCTTGGGAAGGTGGAGCTTATGGAGAGGCTGGGTCAAGAAATGGGCCTGAATCAATAGGCAGCTAATACACCTAAACTCTAAGCTGGGAACCATCTTATAGCGATCTGTCAGACATGATCAGCCACAGACAGAGAGACAGAATAGACAATCGATCTGTAAGCAGCATGCTGCCTCTTACACCCATTACTGAGTGCTTTCAGGCCACTGTGGCTAATTCACTTTTCCAGAGAGGGCAGGCGAATCTGAGCCACTGTTGCTTCAAGGCATTTTCATTTGGATGGAAAATGTTTTGAGAAAATTGTGTGCCAGTAATTACTTTTGCACTATGGATGATATCAAGGCTTTTAGCCATTTAATTTAAAGGACTAGTTCACCCCCCCAAAAATGAAAATGATTAAATTATTTGTAATAATTTAATTTAAATGTATTATTACAGTTATTTTAATTAAATGGAAATTATTCCATTATTAATTAATTATTTATATAAATAACGAATACAAATATATTTATTAAAATATTCCAAATGTATGGGTCTTTCTTTCTTTGGTGAAACACAAGAGCTAGAATTTTTGAAGACTGCATTGGTCGCTCTTTTCCATGCAATTACAATGAATGTGAAAGTAAGGCATTCAAGTTCATATCATAAAATATAATAAAAATGGCCCATATGTTTTCTGCACTAAGTCTTCTGAAGCCATTTGATAGCTTTATTTGAGAAAAAGGCAAGTGGTATTGCCCTCATGACACCTGTCCAATCTCTTTTTGGAGAATTTGTGAGAGAAGCAGTGATGTCTGTGAATTAATCATTCTTTTGAATGATTGTCAGAATGACAGTCTTTTTTAAATGAATCCATTGCACAATCATTCATTCAAGTTTTCAAGTTTAACTCACTGACTTAATGATTTGTTTGTAGCAGTTAACAGAGAGCACCTAAGCTGGATGGAAAAGAGTGACCAGCACAATTTTAAAAATATCTCTTATTGTGTTCTTCGTAAAGGTGCGGACACAGTGAAATTTTGCAGGCAAAATCAGGTCAATTGTATATTGTCAATAGTGTAGCAATGTATGAATCACAGCTCACACAAAAGTCACTTTCAAACATTTAAACTGTATTCATTGACATATTTGGCATATTGCCACCATATTGGCCCACATGTGCATTCCCCCCGAAAGTGTAAATATTATCAGAAACTTAAAACAATAAGCATTTAATTGTGCTAAATATCTTAATGCTGCTCTTGTCCTATATTTAAAGGTGCAATAGGTGATTGTCTTCAGAAACATTTTTTGTTATGCTGGTTGAAAGTCTCTTCACATCACGATAGCAATCATTAAGTTAAGTGGTCTACATGTTTTTATCTGTATTTATATATTCTGTGGAAGGCGTAGGACCAAGAAATGTTTGTCCAATCAAAACGCTCGGTCCAAGCGTTTTAATTGGCTTTCCTAACTGCCTGTCAGCGTATGTATTATCATACCTCTGCGCACCCGGTTTGCACAGACAGGACACGTCATCAGCGCGTTCACGCACGCTGTGCAGACAGAGCGAGGATGGCAGACAAACATCAACAACCCGATCTTCCTTCCTGGTATTGTAGTATTTTTAAAGTTTTCTCACCGGTGAATGACATATGATGTAGCCCAGCGGTTCCCAATTCCTGTCCTCGCGCCCCCCCGCTCTGCATATTTTGCATGTCTCGCTTAGTTAATACACCCGATTCAGATAACCAGCTCGTTAGAAGTGAGCTACGTGCATGAACTGTGTTCCGATCGATATGATCCCTACACAGTACACTCTCTGAGCAGGGGAAATACGTTGACGTTTACTTCACTTCAGAACATTCATTCATGGATTTGTGCTGCGCAGCGTCTTCACACACATCACACTCACACACTCACACACACACACACACACACACACACACACGCGTCTTCACATCCAGTGCGAGGACTGGAATTGGGAACCGCTGATGTAGCCTATTGTAGTAATGTTGTCTCTGGTATTCTGGTCTGTGAGCGAATATGTATTCAGGGGGCGTGGCTTTGGATGGCGATTGCAGGGAGGGTGGGACGTTCGCTTTCAGTACTATCAGGCTAAAGTTAGCATTTTCCAAGATCTTCTACTGCACCTTTAAGCAGTCCTCAGAAGGACAGAGTACAGCATGGACAAACGAGGGGCAGAAAATTAATGGAGTGGAGTATATGTCTCTCTCCGTGCAAAACGACTCAGCTGTTTTCTGCCAATTACCCTAATGGCCAGATGGGAGCAGGCCGAGGCCCAGTGTCACATGAGCGCGTAGCATTAGCATACACAGGTGAGAGGTCCCGCAATCAACGCCTGGCTCCTCTGCTCCTCTCACTGCCACCAGCAAATGCTGTGGCGTGACATGTTTGCTAACCAAAACCAACAAACTCTACACTTGACAGACACAGGTTTGAATACAGGTAAAGGTTTGAAACCTTTGATTCATAAATTGCGAATTTTGGTATAAATGTTATAGTTTGGCCACACCCACCTTCGAGCCTGACCACCAGGGGAACCTTGAGCTCCAGTTCTCTGCAGGCCTTGGTTATGCCGTTAGCAATGATGGCACAGTTAACAATTCCTCCGAAGATGTTTACCAAGATGGCCTCTACCTGTGGAGAAAAAGAGAAAAAGTAAAAAAAAAATATGCTTTATATGGATCAAAACATGGTATGTGTTAGCAAATGCAGTGTTTAAAGGGATAGTTCACCCAAAAATGAAAATTACCCCATGATTTACTCAACCTCCAGCCATCCTAGGTGTATATGACTTTCTTCTTTCAGACGAATACAATAATTAATCTATATTAAAAAAACGTCCTGGCTCTTCCAAGCTTTATAATGGCAGTAAATAGGGGTCGAGATTTTGAAGCCCAAAAAAGTGCATCCACTTTTTTTTTGGCCTTCTGAATTGAATCGAAGCATTTGTGTAAGAAAAATATCCATATTTAAAACTTTATGAACTGTAATCATAGCTTCCGTTAACAGTCGTAAGCGCGTTTATGAGAGAGCTGCGTTCCAGTGGATGACGTAGGACGCAGGGCATAACGTAAGCTCCGGTGAGAAGTGACAAACGTGGAAGCGCAGAGAAAACAAAACACCGGTCATGAATTAGAAGTACAAAACGAGGATTTGTAAAGAAAAAAGTCAGAGGATTTTGATATCAGCCAAGAGGAGACTGGTTGGTTTTCACGAGACAAGCTTATTCTCACCGGAGCTTACGCTACGCCTACGTCCTACATCATCCACTGGAACACCACTCTCTCGTGAACGTGCATATGACAATTAGCGGAAGCTACAAATTATGGTTTTAAATATGGATATTTTTCTTACACAAACGGATCGATTCGCTTCAAATGGCCTTTATTAACCCCCCAGAGCCATGTGGAGTTCTTTTTTATGATGGATGCACTTTACTGGACTTCAAAATTGTTAACACCCATTCACAGCCATTATAAAACTTGGAAGAGCCAGGACATTTTTTTTTGGTTTTCACGAGACAAGCTTATTCTCACCGGAGCTTACGCTACGCCTACGTCCTACATCATCCACTGGAACACCACTCTCTCGTGAACGTGCATATGACAATTAGCGGAAGCTACAAATTATGGTTTTAAATATGGATATTTTTCTTACACAAACTTCAAATGGCCTTTATTAACCCCCCAGAGCCATGTGGAGTTCTTTTTTATGATGGATGCACTTTACTGGACTTCAAAATTGTTAACACCCATTCACAGCCATTATAAAACTTGGAAGAGCCAGGACATTTTTTTAATTTAACGCCAACTGTATTCGTCTGAAAGAAGAAAGTCATACACACCTAGGATGGCTTGAGGGTGAGTACATTTTCATTTTTGGGTGAACTATCCCTTTAAGAAGATAAAAAGGCAAGATAGCAAAACCTTCAGGGTTCTCACATATTTTAACTAGCAAATGTTTTAAAAATCATAAAAATAAATACATTTCAAGGCAATTAAACAGTTTAGAGTTGAGGATAACAAGAAAAGCTCATATTCATGATGGCCAATCAAATTTCTATTATTTATAAAATTTTATAACAGTTCTAATATTTTCAGGCTTTCCATGACTGGAGAAAACCCTGAACCTCATATGAATAAAGACCAGCTGCCAAATAGGCTATTAGCACTAGCATGCTAAAAACCATCATGGAGCTGGAAAAGAGATTTGAGGTGCTTAAGTCCTGAAATGAGCAGCCCACCTGAGAAGAAACTAGATATTTGAGTCTAGCGCGGTATTAGCTGTGCTAACAATGCTATATAATGTCCATAATCCAATACACAATCCAACAATCATTTACATAAATTTATAGCATCAATCAAAGGGATATTAGTGTGTGCAAACACACATGTATGTCCATACACATACAGAATTGTTAACAGCTCATGAATGTGTTACTCTGGTGTGAATGTGTTACTAGGTAAGAATTTAAATAACTCAATGTCAATTCATTTCTGTCAAATTAGCAAATCAACAGATCAGATTAATTTGGCATGTTTACTCATAATCTATGGCAGTGACTGCTGGCTCTTTCGGTGGTAATGATGTTTGGTTAGAAAGGAAATCTGAACATCAGAGAGATACTGGCAGATTCACCCACAAATGCTGTTATTCACCATGCTGGCCAGAAACTGGAGTTCCTTATTTTGTGAATTTGTATATTCTTAACATGAATTCAGGCACTAGGCAAGGTTTTCTAAACACTGCGATTTTATTAACTCAATTATTTATTGCACTATTACGAAGTCACACATTACATATAGCTTATACTTTTTAATTGAGCACTGTTTCTGCATTACGCATCATCGTCGTAGCTATATAAAAAGCACTACAAGATTATTAACTTATCCTGCATTTTTAAGTAAAATTGTCAGTAAAAATGTAATAATGTATAAAATAAAATAAAAAAGCAATTATTCCATTATGAAGTGTGTTTATTCTGCATTAAGCAAAAATTGTCAGTAAATCTATAATAATAATAATTTGTGCCGTCAAATGATTAATCGTGATTAATCACATCCAAAATAAAAGTTTTCGTTTACATAATATATGTGTGTGTGTACTGTGAATAATTATTATGTATATAAATACATACATGCATGTATATATTTAAGAAAAATATGTTTTGTTTATATATAAAACATGTATATTCATATATAATATAAATTATTTATGAATATATTTACATTTAGTCATTTAGCAGACGCTTTTATCCAAAGCGACTTAGTCAAAACTAACAAAAGAGCAACAATATATAAATGCAAATGAGTAGTCTCAGTTAGCCTAACGCAGTACACATAGCAAGGTATATATATATATATATTATACACACACACACACACACACACACACACACAAAGAAAAAGTAGATAGAATAGAAAAAATTGAAAGCTAGTGTTTGTTTGTTTTTTGTTGTTTAAAAATAAATAAATAAATAAATAAATAAATAAAAAATAAAAAAAGAAGATAAATATAAATAAAGTAGAATGAAAATAGAATAGAAAGTGCTAGAGTTAGAGATATATATATATATATATATATATATATATATATATATATATATATATATATACACACACATACATACCTGTAAAAAAAATTTTATATTACAATATTATATATTATAATAATAAATATAAAATGTGTAATTATGAAGTTATTATTAACAATGTAATTAAATGTGTAAATTAAATATTATATATTTTAAACAATACTCATGTTGATAAAAATAAAAATAATAATAATAATAATGTATAACAACTGAAAAAGCAATCATGCTATTGTGAAATTAAACAATTATGTCATTGTGCAAATTAAAATAAAATTAAAAATGAAATAATAAATATAAAAATTAAAAACATATCCCAATTTTAATATAACAACTCTGATTACTGTATAATACATAACAAATAAACCACAATTAAGGTTTAATGCATTCCAAGACTAAACATTTTCGATAACTAAATATAGTGACTAGCTGATGCTCACTATTTTTTACATTGCATTCTGGGAAGTTTTAGGCAGGTTCAGTGAATGCAATCATCTTGGCAGCCCAGAATGGCTGACTCCCTAGTCAGTGGTCTTACTACTGACTGAAACACACATTGATAGATGGGGGGGGGGGGGGGGGGGGGGGGGGAATCAAAGATACATCCACAGGCTGACAGAGAGTAGAGGTGAGCAGACTGAGACAGAAATAGATACAGGCCGAGACCCACAGACAAGCAAGACAATGCCTCCACCAACAGGTACATCCCCACCTGGCTGAGCTGCCAGATGGCATATCCACATCTTTACATCCTGAGATATTGCAGGCACCTAGTGTTTCATTGTCAACTTATGATATAAATAAATCCACACTAAAACAAATGAAGGAAAACACGTCTGCCTGTGGTGTTGCTGACAGAGTAAAGGGCGCCCAATGCCAGAGTTTCCAGCATGTGACCCTGAAACAGCACATTCCCTCTCACACAGCAGATGATGACAGGCTGGATGGAGATAGAAAGAGAAAGTGTCTGTAATGTCCAGCTTCCGATGCTGGAACTGGCAGGCATTTACCATGACTACAGAATGTCTACATCTGCTGCGTCTTCCCTATCAATGGTAATGTCTGAGCTACTGCAGTTTACACATTAATGCACAACTGTAACAGGATACGGAAAAAGCATGATATGTAGAGACACAGTCACTGCTTAGCCAAAGGGAGTAATACTTGACCCAAACCTTTCAATTCAGAGCTCTGCTCAAACTGAGAAGTCTGTCGTCACAACCACACTGAAGCATGTCACCCTGACTGTGTGTGACAGACTACAACTAGTCCAGCATTCAAATCACCAGGTTTAAAATGTCTGATATCAAATATGTATTCAATTTTTTTTCTATTACAAATTATATTATCAGCACATCAAATTAAGTGAAAAGCTGATTCAATTGTATTATATTATTACTGAAATAAAATGATTAAAATTAACAAACTATTTATTACATTACATTTTCAATCCCAGATTTTCAATGTGGTCTCGAGACTTTTGGGTCCAACTGTACATAAAATACCTGACTGAAATACAGGTAAATAATTAATAATAATTAAAACTCAATGTAACAATAAAATGTTAAAATATAAATAAATAAAAAGCGATGAAATTTGTGATAGAAATTAATTAAATTAATGTGGAGAAAAATAGGATGGTCAAAATTAAGGTGTAGAAAATTGTCTAAAAATATATGTTTTTGAAATACAGGAAATGTAAGAATAATGTAAGGTGAATGTAAATTGTTAGAACACAAAATAAAAAAATATATACAATTATTTATATATATATATATATATATATATAAAAGTAGGTGAAAATATAAAATAAAATTATATTTTATTATATAAAATAATAAAATATGTGATTCAAGTAAAGTTACAGTATGTAGAAAAAAAGATTTGTAATGCAATTTCCCTGTCACATTGAAAATGGGGTAAATACAGTTAAATAATAATCAAAACTTAAGGTGACAATAAAATGTAAAAATTGAACTTAAATGTGAAAATTTGAAATGCATGAATGAT